TGGTTTTTCAGTTTTTATATGACGTGCAACTATGCATTATTTGAGAGACTTATTTTAATTAAAATTAAAAATGTTTATGTAAGACAAAATGAAAAATCAATTAATAATCGGTAAGAATCACTTTGGAGCCGTGTTTCACGTTCATCAAACTCTGTAAATTATGCTTATCTTAATTATCTTACTTTCGCACTAATTTTCTTCGGTGATAAAGAGACCGATATTCCTCTCGACTGCGCGTCGAGGTCGCCTAATGATTCCGAAAGCGGGTTTCATGCCGAAAATACTTCCATTGACTTAGCGTGGGGTGCAACCTCATGGGAGATCGAGAGCGGGGCCATGGCTTTCGTGACGGGGCGCAGGGCGACCTTACGTTGACAGCTGGCGCATCCGTTCCGTTTATAGTTGCCTCTGCTTGACAGGTACGCGTGGTATCGTCTTAACGCGTTGGCATTGTTATTTTCGTACTACGGCGCCATGAAACGCGTGAGTCGGGATACGCACGTCTCGTTTTTTATATCATTATATGCGTCGACCAATGCAAGCGCCCTGGGATGGGCAAACCCCAAAAGTATCACATGAATCACAAATCCATTGAATATATAACATCAGTATCTACTATTTAAAAGAGAGAATTGATATCATTGACATAAGAAATGTTTTCTCTTTCTATCTGCAAAATTTTAAAAGCTTGGTAATTTAAGAATCAAAAAGTAAGAAACAGCAAATTCTAAATGCAAGAAAAATCTAAATGTTGTAGATCAGGGATTAAAAGATTAACGAATTAAAAAACTTAAATAGCTAAAGATTTATGAATTCAACATGTTTGTCTGTTTTTACTTATGAGTTTATGTAGATTGATTGTAAGGGAGAAAGGAGGAGAGATCATCCGCTTAGGAAGAGAGAGATCATCATAATTTCATCATTCATCATTGAGACTTCGTAAAATCATTGAGACTTAGTAAAAATAATACTTCTTACGTCCATTTAGCTTGTCGACGACCCTGTTGGAAGCAATCTGTTTCTAGCAAGCTCCTCTCAAGCGATTAAAGCGCGAAGACAAATACACAGAGTTGAGATGAACTAACAATCGTGCCTTCCATTATAGTATCATAAATCCTATAAAACATCTGTTGCGCGTATCTTAAAAAGCGTCGACTTAAATTGAGAAAAATAAAAATTCGTTTGAAGTCTATAGCGTACTTTTATTAATTTTATAAAATCATCCAATATTTATTTTACATTTATATAATACAGTCATTTTAATGTGAAGAACTAACAATATTCAACATATAATACAGTTACAATCAGTACAATATAGATCTAACATTAATTTGTGTTACATAGATCTCTTCTAATCTTTAGGCTTCTTTGAAGGTGAACGAACGAATTGTCATTTCCTGTCTTCGTAACATTATTAGCAAAAGTTCGGATTTTATTCGTGACTGCAACACGAAACGCGGCAGGAAATCGTCCCGGAGCGTCCGATTAGGACGGGGATGAATCTAACAGGGCCAACGGGATCACGCGAAATCCGGGGTTAAAGCACCGCGGTGCTTTTCTCCGCGTATCCACTATACGTGCCATTGAGGATATCGCGCGCATAATCGCGTTTCTATTCTGTCGCGACACGCAAAATGCAGCGTCACACGACACCGACTGACCCGAAAATGCGATCGTTCATGCGATATAAACCTCGATACCTTTCGGACTTGTTGCATGTCTTTGCATCACAGGAAGACAGTCGAGCTTTTAACTCTATAAACCTTCCAATACATCTTCCAATACATCTTCCTTTTAATACATCTAATACATCTTTAGATCTCTGTAGTTCTCAAATTTTTATCTATCAGATTTCTTGGTTATTTTATGTGTTCCCGAATTAATATTTCAAGGGATGAAAGAAGATAGAATTTTGAATTAAAAGTTTCTTTCCCAATTTTGGTTCAGACCAAATTTCATTATTTACCGAGTTAGTAACGATTAAAGTTAGTCAGATCGCGCCCAGCCGGAATACGTAGAAGCGTAGCATGCTAGGCCCCTCGTGCTTTTTGTACATTCTCCCAATTAAAATTTTATTTTAATTTTTTGTATAAATTAATAAATAAATGAAATGAAATTAATTAATCAATAAATTAGTAAATGAGTACATAAATAAATAAGTAAATAAGTAAATAAATAAATAAGTAAATAAATAAATAAATAAAATGAGAATAAGTTACAATTTATTCAATTTCTGATTGTTTTTTTATTATTTATTATTTATTTATTTGTTTATTTATTTAATTCAATTATTTAATCCATTTGTTCAATTTAGTTATTTAATTTTTATAGCTAACCTAGCAGTGATGGAGAAAAAATAATTACGGAATATGTTATGCAAAAAAAGCTATTGGTAAAAACTATTGGTAAAAAACGAAATTAAAATAAATTGTTTAAACAACCTCTTCAAAAATTGCTTTGACACGTGTCATGTATGATTCTTATAAATATTATAAATAAATTAATATTGTTATAAATAAATTAATTAATAAATTAATTACGTAGATTAAATTATTTTCATATTCGTTAATTTCGGATTTTAAAACGATAATGCCATCGAATTTTAAAAATCGAATTGTAAGAAAAAATACGTAAGAATCATATATGTCAACGTTATGAAATAATTAAAATAAATTTTTCACAAGCAATTGTTTAAACAATTTCTTTAAAAAAACTAATTTTAATTGGAAACTGAGATTTCTACAAAAAAAAATACGTAAGAATCATATATGATACATGTTAAAACAATTTTTGAAGAGGTCGTTTAAACAATTTATTTACAAACAATTTATTTTGATAATGTTTTTTGCCAGTAGCTTTTTTTGTATCCATAACAAATTAGAATAAAATTTTAATCAAAAAAATGTACAGAAAGCGCGAGGGGCCTCATAGCACGCTACGCTTCTGCTTCGGCTGGACACAATCTGCTTCATCAACTTTACTCGTTAATAACTCGGTAAACAATGGTCTGAGTCAAAATTGGAAAAGGAATTTTTAATTCAAAATTCTATCCCCTTTCATTCCTTGAAATATTAATTAAGAGTTATGGGACACCCTATATAATGACTAAT